GTGGGTCGTGAAAAAGATTGATATGCAAAGGAACGAAAGCAGAGGAAATGAGTATTACAGTAGTGAGTATTACACACAGGCTCCATTTTTAAAAACACCTTTTAGTTCCTCTCTAGGTTAGAAAGTAATGTTCAGGAATGTAGAGTTCATCAAAACTTCTCTGTAGAGTTTTCCATTAGAATAATATGAGGGATTCTTAAGGGAAATTCATAATCTCATCCTCAGTGTACGAATGGTAAGGGAATTGTGAAGGCGTAGGGTAAAGGTAAAGGGTAAAGAAGCAGAGAAAGTGCCAAATGAGGGTGATCAGCAAAGAAAGATCAGGGTGCTGAAGAAACGTGCAAACAACAGACGCGGCTAGCCATACGTGTGCAAAGGTGCCCAATTCATTTTCTCAATTTTATGAGGCCAAAGCAGCGATCAAAGGACGGTTAGATCAGGTTTGAAGGTCAAGCAAGAGTGAAGTCGGGAGAAAACCACTGGAACCGTTGCAAGGGTTGATAGCCATGCCTTCACGCATTGCAAAGCAACTTGGACGATGAGCAAAAAGAAACAATGGCTTCTTAACATGCTCATCACTGGTGTGACAATGATTAGAGAGGATAAAAAGGGGGAACAACTGGAACGCCACACCCACTGTTTGAATAGCCCACCTCTGACCTCATTCCATTGAGTGTTTGTTGTGCTTTTTTTGAATTCTGAATATTAAATACATTCTATTCTAGAAAAAGAGGGTTTAATCGGTTTCGCTATAAGTAAAGCCAGTCGTCGTTCAAACAGGTCTTGGTTCCTGACACCTAAAGCTGACTGAGTGAGAGTGAGAAGGTGACTGGGTCAGAGAGTTTGGGTGAGCCTTACAAAAGACCCCTGATAGTTTCTCACTGATGCCACAAGTCCTATCGAAAAATTCAACCCTTGCTAGGAATGCCAACGGTTTCAGCCAGTTAATATGCTTTAAGTGTATAGGAGGCCAGCAAAACATCCTTCACTAGGAGGACGATTTGCGTAATTATCAGGTTGTTGCATAAGATTCTTATACACGTGTTTGACCCCTCATTTCGTTCTCAGTATTGGTAATACGTCATCACGTTGCGTACGTGTCCACTTAATACCTCTCGTACATTAGCTATCACTCACCGACGCTTTGCATTGCCATTAACAATCAAGTCGGCACAATTGCACGCGATGAACAAAGACGTACCTGCGCCACTGTTGTTTGCGCATATTATCAGCTGACTCAGAAGAAACCCATACCAGAGCGGGGGATAATACGTAGGACGTACATCTCTTACCAATAACAATGCAAGTAACCGTCCAAATCAAAGCAAAGAGACTTTCTCTCGAAGAGCCCGAAGTCGGTCGGTCCGATGCGAGTGGATGTGGAAGTACTACTCCACCATTGAGCAGGAGCCACGTACCTCCACCACCAGAGAAATGGCGACCACGCTTAGCTATGATCATTCGACGGTTGCACGTGGACTAGAAAAGCTCGGCAAGGTAGCAAAGCTTGGTCGATGGGTCCAATGAACTGTCCGCTTATGACCTCTCGAGGAGGGTGACCACCTGCACTTCATACCCTCACTTCCCACAACAGCGCCACTTCTCTACTCGATGACCACGCGGGAGATGAGAATGGTCCCTACATAACCCATAGTTGAGAACGCGGCAGTGGCGACTTCAAAGAAACAGCCAGAACCAACCCAAGAGGCCGACCTTCACCCAAAAGTTCTCCTGTCCGTAGGTCCAAAGAGTTGCAATGGATCAACGGGCAGCTGCGAGATACCCACCACCCCGGGACAGACGATGACGCTTCCACACGTATCGTCGACCCAGCTGCGGGAATGAGAGATCACGTCGCACGATCGGAAAAGCGGCAAATCTACTTCCACCATGAAACAACGCCTCACCCACACGCAAAGGCACCCTGGCTACGAGGCTGAGAAAGTGTGGATGGCGTGTCGCCCACCCTCCGCCTACAGCCCCTGACCTCGCTCCCTTCTGAACTCTCAGGCTGTCAGTCACTGCACAGCTATCGGACGGAAAAAAAGTTCGAAATCAAAGGAATCAGTCATGTAGGCGCTTCCGACAACTTCTCATTGAGTCCTAGCCTCCGTCGTCTAGAAGGAGGAGTACGAGTCAAGCTCCTGAGCGCATGCGCGCGCAGTAGTGAATCGGTGACGGGCAACCACCTAATGCTCCACGCTGTTCGTTTTTTGATATATTTACACAAAAACGTCGTGTATAAGAACTTATGCAACAACCTAATACGATTCTGTGATAAGCCAGGTGTCGGTATATAGACTTCTGGGCCATGTTCGACTTGGAAGGGGTTGCACTTCTGCTCGTTCCTTCTGTTGGTTTATGTCAATTAACAAGCCCCACTTGCGTCAGACCTGTAAATTCTTGTGATGATACGAAACTAAGCGAATGAACCATTTGGGTCACAGGAATCTATAGGCCCTCTCATGGCTAGCTTGCTAGCTACCTCAGCGGGGTAGCATTTGGTGGCCCCACCTAGGACTGCACCGATCTCTGGAACTACTTTTTCTGTTCCTTACAAAAAAATTATGAGTCAAATCGAACAAACCTGCTCCATCGGGTGGCCGCTCATGTAAGCCGTGCCGTCTTGCTGCATGTCCTGTTCATGGAGGTAGGAGCCAAGTGATGGCGACATCACTGGAGATCCGAGAAGACCGGTGTTTTGCACCGTAGTTGCTGGACAAAACACTCATTAGAACAAAAGGACTGCGGGATTGGCATTCACGTACCAGGATCAAATCCTTCGTGCAGCACATGGGGTAGCATGGACTCATCATGACGACGTCGTTTCGCGTCTCGCCGTCTATCCTTATCCGCTCGCGGTCTCTTCTGAGGGCTCTCGTTCTTGCCGCATTGGTTTATATGTCGCCGGATGTTACCCTTCAAAATTCCCTTCAAAATTGGAGTACATCAACATAAGAAGATAAGGAACTGAAGCTAGAAAGGAGGTCAAATACTTTGCCGTAATTCTTATCAAAGTAGAATAATCCCGTTTGAGGCGAGAGAAAGAGAAAACCAGGTACTCGGTCTAAAATGCTAGCAGGGACGAGTTTCCTGTAGGCATCGTACCACTAACCGCTGCGGTGGATACGGCTGCATGTGTGTACTCATATATCCATGCAGCACCGCAGCCGCTTCATACCAATCCCTTCGCTTCATATTTTCTTAGCAAATGAAGCAATACGAGCATCAGGTACGGTCGTCCATTTGTGGGCGGGCGGCGTGGTGTGCATTTGGAGCGGTATGTTGCAGTCTGATAGGGTCTTATAAGAATATCTCCCTCGAAAAAAATGCTACGCAACGCCTGCTCAGGGGCACGGAATTCCGTGCTGCTAAGCGTATTAATCCTACTCGCCTCAGGCAATCATCGGGCCAATTGCCTTCAAACGGCACCTTCACTGCGTAAGGTTTCTTCTCTCTCTTTAGATGGTCAGACTCAGAACAACTGCTTTCCACGGCACGTTTCTCGGGTTAGCCCGCAGTTGTTTGTTATCTTGGCCGCCGAAAAGGGAATTCGGTAGACTTTTAGATGCATCAACAAGTTCGCCAACAGGACAAAAAGGAGGTCTTTACAGTGATACCGTTAAAAAAATTAAGTTTAAACATTACAGTAGAATAAAGGAAACAGAGTACAAGTGGTCCGTTAACTCAAGCATTCAAATGGCTCACCTTGTAATGACTGATAAAGCGATCACAGTGAGGGCATATTGGGCTGAGACCGTCGTGGCCGTTGGTGAGCGCGCCAGCTTTGATGGCGTTCTCCGTACCCGGCGCTATTGGATTTGCTCCCATCGCTACCTGGTCCAGGTAATTTCGTCCTAAAGTGTAACCGGTTATCAACAACTATTAAATTACTTAATAGTTAAGCCAATCCCGTAAAACCCAGTAATGAGAGATTCTGGTCATGAGCCGATGCCCTCTGGAGACCTAAGGCCCTTTTGGGGCAATCAAGTTAGGCAGCTGTTAATCTTGGCAAGGCATTTGAAGGGTTTCCTGTGCAAAACGGCAATAGACGTCTTCAGAGTAGGGTTGCTGTAATTGAAACGGTTCACTTATCCCGTTCCCTTCGAGGTAGGCCCGAGTAAAACTGTCATTTCCCTTCCCTCAAAAGCTTCCTCCCCGCCGTGTTAGTGGCGGAATTCGCAACAATGGTCACTAATCAAGAGTTTGCTGTCAGAGATGAATGGAAAAATGCATTTTAAATGAGCTCACCGATGATTTCACGGCATTTCTCGTTCCGTCCAATATGACCAGTTAGGCTTCGCCTTGACGGGTAGACACCTCTACATGCCATGCACATCACTCGCTCATTATCAGGACCCTGAACATCGTAGTATGTAATGGGGTCAATATTGACGATAGATCATTGAGCTAGAGATTATAAACTTCAATTTTCCTACTTGTTTCTAGCTCAGTATAAATTTAAATAGAAAAGAAAACTAGAAAACAGTTGAAAACAGGCAACAATCTATAGGCCTTGGGTGCAATCAAAGGGCACCATGAAAGAAACAGGGACTGCCGCAACACAGAAGAGTGCTTTTGCCTAATGTAAGCCCGAAGTTGAGGAAGTTTTTGAGTGAGCAAACCAGTTTCAAGTACAGTAGCCCCAGCGCGCCAAGTCCCCGAAGTCTTCATACGTCCCCGCCCTCCCTCGTAGTTTATTAGCGTCCAATTCTAAACTGCACACAGAAATGCTGTGAATAATGCTGTGAACACTTGGATCGATTTGTGCACAAATATTTCAAAAAGTTGCACTTTGAAAATATTCTCGGTTTTGAATAAATTGGAATCCACTCGAAATACAGATTTCCAGAGACTTCTAGTTACTGATATAGGAACTATTATCCAGAAACTCACGGAAAGAAAAAAGATAACAGAAATTCATGTTATTTCTTAGGATAGCGACACCTTAGTTGGGGGAACATAAAGGAATCTCTGCAGAAATGAATAGTCGCCATGCAAAAATCCATCCATATTCGCCATGCAAAGTCATCTAGCTAAAGCGCCCCATGATTTCCGCGATTTTCACACAAATTATGGGATTCACACACAAAACTGGGACCTAACGAAGGAGGTTTTCCAGGCGGTGGAAATCATTTTTGAAACGGTTCGTTGCAATTTGTGGGGGGGGCCCATGCAGGGAGCACAAAAATGAAGGTCATTTTTGCTCCGCTCACTGGGAATGCAGAATTGGAAAAAAATGTTGACAACGAACTTTACTTACTTTAGCTTTACTGTTTTTTTTCGGACCAAAGAATCGGGTGTGTTTGGATATGTTACATCTTGTTCATGAGGGAGGTTCTGATCTGCCTATGGTACAACGAAGTGATTTACTAAAAAAATTCCAGGAATGCAGCAGATGTACACAGCGCAAAAGAACTACGCGATTGTGACTTCCGCACGAACCTCTACAACATGCAATAAACCGTTTTAGAAATGGACTCCAGGACCTTAAATACCCCACCCCCAACCCCACCCAGTCCCCTATTCTTGTAAGGCATGAGTCAAAGTCGATCTCTTCATCAATCGTATGATTGAACCGCTCGATGACCGTGATGTGAAAAAGAAAACGTGGAAATGTATGACACACAAAACAGAATTTCAATGAAAATCGAGGGGAGAGATAGCTGTTGCAAAACTAGGTATCGTGGAAATTGGCGATGATTCAGTGGCAATTGAAGCTAGAACGAAAAAAAATCTGGTAAATGAAATTTTTTATTTGTTTTCCGATTTTATGAGAGCAGAGACCGTGGTGTTCTTGTAGCAATCGGCTATTCTTCACGGCCTTACATATGCATCTGTGTTTTTCAGATATTATTTCAATGTTTGTCAGACTCTAAGTACCCACCTCCAAGTCAGTTGAGATCGCCTCTCCGGAAATGGGTGGAGTCTCGGAAGCAGCCGAGCCGCTATTTGATGTCAATGTTGGGCTGCTAAGTGACGTTTGCTCACAGGGAGATACGGTAGATGGACGAGGCAGTGGAGCTGTGGGAAGAATCGTCTGAGGAGGTGCTGAAGGCTGACCGGCTCCCATTGAAAGTGCTGTTGACGATGTGAACTAAACTTGTAGACTTATAGACACAACAGGAATCCATGCCTTGAAATTCAAATGAGGAGCCAGAGTTGGCTCTGAGGGTGACTAAAGAACTAACGTCGATTTTTTGCTGAGATTGGTGATGATTGAAATGCATTGGAGGATAATTGGCAGTGATTTGAATCGGTTCCGATAATGGCACTTGATGCTCGAATTGTGGAGCAGCGACACGGTGGTAGGCATCCGGAAAAGACTGTTGAAATCTGAAATGATACATAGGAAGTGACCGTAAAGCGAGCGTAGATAACGGCTCGCGAGGGTCTGGTTCATAAGCTGCATAGACAAGAGTTAAGGGTTCATAGCTTGTCTGCCTAGACAGCAGCCAAGAATTCCCTAAAAGAAATGATCGCAATTCAACAGGGTTGCCATTTGAGAGAATCCTTAAAATTGCAGTGTTGCACGGCGAAATTTATCAATCTGTTGGAATTCTCGGCCATTGGAATTTTGGCAGAAGTAATTTCCAGGATTGCAGCCTAACATGCAATGCTTTTTCTCCATTGACCCTTTTCCCCTTTATTCGATCTGCGTGAAAGTACTGACGCTTCCGTGGCGATAGCATGTAAGTGTATCCAACTGACCTTTGTTCATGTACAGGATAGTACATATTGTTCGGCGGCTGCCCATATGGACCCGCACAGCGTCAAAGTAGAAC